ATGAGGTATCATTTTCGAACGCGTAGTACCATCTTCTCTCGCAGTCAGATAAGACGAAAGGGATTGCCGAGGTTTTCTAATGCGTAATACTATCCTCTCTCGCAGCTGCCAGATATTCATTCAATAAAGAATAAAGGGGGTCCCAGTAAGGACCTTAACGTGTAAGACTTGTGTGACCTGCTGAAATGTCATCCACGTCTATGACTTCCACACATAACAACCACTGAACCTGAAAGTCGCTTAGTATTTGTTATAGGTGAAACATTTTCTACGAGTGGGGCTGGCCTCCTCTTTAAAAAGAATCCAACTATGTTTCTTCCTTTAGCACTGAATTGCTTGATTCATTGAGAAAGTTAGCCATGAATTCTACTACTAAATGGTTTGCCATGAATATTATATTGCTCAACTTCCTTCCAATCCTTCCTTCTTCCACTTCCATTGCCATTGTCTCTATAAAGCCAAACCAACCCATGAGAGATGGCGATGTTCTTCTCTCTAGTAATAAAATCTTTGCACTTGGGTTTTTCAGCCCGGCCAATTCTCGTAACCGGTATGTTGGAGTTTGGTACAACAAAGTTCCAAACCAAACCATTGTCTGGGTTGCAAACAGCGACAATCCCATAATTCCTGTCACTGATAATAATGCCTCTGGAGTTGGACTTCTAGCTGTTCATGGAAATGGAGGCCTGGTCATCTATGGGAAGGACCAAAATACCCCTCTTTGGTCTGCTAATGTTTCAGTCTCTTCGCCAAACAATTCCATGACAGCCAAGCTTCGGGATACAGGAAATCTTGTTTTGCTTGAGGAGGACAATGGTTTTAGCCAAAGGGTATTGTGGCAAGGCTTTGATCATCCCACAAATACAATGCTTCCATTTATGAAACTTGGGCTGGACCGGCAGTCCAAGTTGAATCGGTTCCTCAAATCATGGAAATCTCAAGATGATCCGGGAATCGGTAACTATTCATATCGGATCGACCCAAGTGGGTTTCCGCAGGCCTTTTTATACAAGGGTCAAGATCCGCGCTGGCGGGCTGGGTCGTGGATCGGAGAGAGATGGAGCGGTTTGCCCGAAATGACAAACTTCATATTCAACGTTAGTTTTGTGAACAATCAAGATGAGCTATTTATTGTGTATGGTATGACGAAGGAATCAATCTTCTCGAGGATGATTCTTGATGAATCAGGAACCCTTGTACTGTCCAGGTGGCATGATCAAGGGCAGCAATGGATCAAGTTTTGGACTGGCCCAAAAGAGGAGTGTGATAAATATGGGAAGTGTGGTGCCAATAGCAATTGTGACCCGTTCAATACGAGTAAGTTCGAGTGCACGTGCCTACCTGGATATGAACCCAAGTCGCCACATGACTGGTATTTGAGAGATGGGTTGGGTGGGTGCGTGCGGAAAAGCGGAGTATCCATGTGTGGAAACGGGGATGGGTTCGTGAAGGTCGCACGTGTGAAGGTACCCGACTCA